CAAATCATTTGTTGATATGGAAAGTTTGTCACATGATTCACATATGCCTTTGTTGTTATTTGTTCCTCTTTGCTTCTGTCATATTGGTATATATATATATATATATATATATATATATATATATATATATATATATATGTGTGTGTGTGTGTATATATATATATATATATATATATATATATATATATATATGGCATTACATTATATTGTATCTATTTTTAAATTCACTAAGTATCACCGCTTATCCCTTTCAGTGTTTAACAATTGCAGGTAATAAGCATCCATTATAGACACATACTGTTGGAATATTTAGAATATTTGATAATATTACTTTTGTATTTAGTGATCATGTATGTATAAAATTATAATTTCATGGGTAGTTATGTAATATACTAAAAACTTAGTCGGTTTGTATCCAGTCTTTTGTAATTAAACTATCAATGTAAAATATTATTTATTAATATGCATGTAGCATGTTTTGGAGTAATATGATGTAGTTTTAGAGAGGAGTTCTCTCAAATAGTCAAAGCCGCACCAAAAAATAATACAAAAAAAATACAAATCATACTATAAAATGATAAAAACCGCTCCGAAAAATGCAAACAGCACAAAAAATCATCCCACCGGAATCCACCCTTAAACCGCCATAATCTCTACCACCTGTTTGTTGTCGATAACAGAAGAATCACCAAGTCACACCACTTTTATTGTTATTAACCACCGTCAAGCATCTATACATTGACCTCCTTTACAACCGAGCAAAAACCGCCACCAGTTGACACCATCGTCATCTGCCCTACCTTAGCCAAAAACCACCATTACAGCCACGAATAACACCCAACATCCCCAGTTACCATCGTTTTTCACAGTCCTTACCATCTTTATTCCTTGAAAACAACTCCTAAATCTTCATGAGTTTGCTTCTCTTCTAGTTAAACATCTCGCCATCTCGGGCCACCCTTATACCACATGCCATCTCCACCAAGAACCACCGAGAACACCGCCAACAGAGCCCCTACCTTTGTGGGGAACCATCCACGCACCACCATATCCTACATATTTCAGATCCATCATCCTTATTCCACCTTAAACAAACCAAACGTAAATCAGTAAAAGAAACAAAAAACAAACAAAAAACAAAAATTAGTTTATCTGCGTACCTGCCATCTCCACCACTAACCATCGTGAACACCGGCTACAAATGTTGTGCCTTTGCCGAGAACCATCCAAGCACCACCATCTCCTACATATTTCCGATCAACCAACTTATTTCACCTTAAACAAACTAAACATTAATCAAGAAAAAAAAATAAGGAAGAAAAAAAGAGATATGCTTCTTGTGTTGTCCGTAAAAGGGGGAAAACACATACTTTTAGAGGAAAATGAAAATATAGGAGGAAAATGAAAATATAGAAGGGAAATAAAAAATTCGATGGATCAACCAATTTGTAGCTTGCTTGAACATGAAAATTTTGAACGAAATTTGGAGGGCTCTTGCAAAAAATGAAAATTTCGAATGAAATTTTTAGAGAAAAGATTAATGGTACAGTCCGATGTTTTTAGTGAGATTTTTTTTTGTGCGGATCAATGTTTTATAGTGCGAATTATTTTTTGAGACGACTGTAATTTTTTTTTTGGTGCAGTTTCCATGTTATTTTTTTGGTGCGGTTTTGTGAAACCACATCAGAAAACTCTTTAATGGTGCGATGTTGGGAAACTGCACTAACAAAGCTATTTTTTGCGGCGGTTGAATTGTTTTTTGGTACGGTTTCCACATTATTTTTTGGTGCAGTTTTGAAAAACCGCATCAGAAAATGCTTTAATGGTGCGATTTTGGGAAACCACACTAACAAAGCTATTTTATGGTGCGGTTCTCTTATTTTTTAATGTTGTAGATATTTAATAAGATGGTTTTTAGAAAGCACCGCATCAAAAAATAAAAATCACTCGCACTATTAAATGACTTGTGTACTAGTGTGTTTTCTGCAATATAGAAGAAAAGGAAAATGAGAGAGAGAGAGAGAGAGAGAGAGAGAGAGATATTGTGGGCTCCTTTTTCTTAAAATTGTTAAAATATAAAAGGTAGTGAGCTGACATAAGGGTAACCAAGTTACCTCTTCGTTTTTCCCTAACATATTGGATCCGACAAAATCAATCTATTCCTTTAAAAGACATGAAAATAATATAAGAGACTAAATTGGTCAACACTAAAAAGTTTTTGTGTTATATGTGTCATTTTCCCAATAGTTTTATTAGATATATAGTATGATCTGTAAATTATAGTATATGTTTGGTTGGTGGTGAGGGTCATGTAGAACATAGGAGTATATATTTCTATTAAGTCTATAATAAATAGAAAACAATGTGGTTTACTAAGCTTTGGTTCGATTTTGGTAATGGTAAACGTTGTTGATGGGTGTTTGCGATTGTGGTGGTGAATTGTGTTTGAAGTGGTCGGAGGTTTTTCTAACGGCTTAAATAGTTTGTTGCGTGTATATGACTTTAACCTTGGCTTCCGATCTACCTGCAAAATAAGGTTATAGGAGATTATAATGTTATTTTTTTAAATAAAAATTAGAGTATATACCTTACGATTTGATAACATGCTTTGAATGCAAGGGAATTATGTTTTTTAAATAGTTTATGACATTAACCCTTCTTATAAATGGGTGGAAGGAATTCACGTATCATTCTTTCTTTTTTCTTTTGCCATTATTATATATTTGAAATAAATTTAAAATTAAAAAACTAACTATTAGTGAGAAATTAAAGATTATTCAAATTTAATTATTTTATTTTATTTCATTTCATTTCCCAACAACTAAATATATTTCCAAACACTTTTGACAATCTTATAACAAACCAAACATCTCTAACTATCTTTCATTTCGGATAAAATATAATCTGGTTAACCAATTCTTATTTCTAGTATCCTAATAATATCTTAAAAAGCACGTGTACAAATACCATAAAAACATTGATCTCATGAAGACAATGTTACAAATACATATTAATATATACTATTAAGAACTTGATATGCTTACAACCCGTCATATATTTTTTTTTATTATACAAGGTTTTAATTTCTTTGTTGTAAGGAACACTAGTTATAATATGAAAAATTCCTTCATTTGAGAAAATTACTAAACTAGTAATTTTTCGTAATGACTTATCCATTTTTAATGAAAAATTAACAGTTGTCCCAAAATAGTCCCGCAAACCGTAGACAATTAGGATCGTTTACGGTCAACCCTTGGTTGACTAAGGTCAAACCTTTGTTGACTATTCTTTCGGGCAATGGTTACTGTTTCTTGGACTGTCTACTATTTCAGGCCCATTGGCTTAGAACATATAAAGTTATAATTTTTTATTTTCGTCATTTTTATGTGTTTGAAGCTAGGAAAACTTTTTCAATAGAGCCTTCAATTTCAAATCTTCGACTTTTTTTCTTATTTAGGATGAGATTTAATAGATAGTTTTTTGGGAAAAAAAATAACAAAACCATAGGCTTCATAAGAAACCTAAGGTGTACAAGCATTTACTGCACAAAACGTGCAACAAATGCTTGTACACCGTAGGTTTCTTAATAACCTACGGTTTTTGTAATTTTGTTTGTTTGTAACTCATTGCAATATATACCGGGTACGAAATAGTAGTGAAAATTCATGAATTATTAGTCAACTTCTATCAAATAATAGTATAAAATAAAATAATAATAATAATAATAATAATAACCCTAAAACCGTAGACCATTTGACCGAAACAGTAGACCATTTATGGTCTACGGTTTGGGATATAGTAGATCAATGAGAGGAAACAATAGACCGTAAAAGGATTCTTTATATACCTAACATGAAGCCTTATACCAATAATACGAAATAGTTGACGGTTTTAATGGCCTACGCTTTCGGTAGCTATTTTTAGACAAATGCTAGTTTTTGGCCAAAAACTAAAAAATTATTAAGATATTTGACTAAATTAGTTATTTTCTTAAGACATTTTACATATTTATGTAATGACCAAACATTTTTCCAAACTATACTTTAATAAAATAGCATCAATAAGAGGAGAACTTGTTTCTTTAGTTTTTATTTTAAATAAATAAATAAATAAAAATATGTAGCGTTGGTGAGCCTAGCATGTTATCTTTAGCCACAAAAACACTTCTTGTAATTATCATAGAGGGGTGTGAGATGCATTTTTGTATTAAAAGAAAAAATATTTTTTTTTTATAAAAATAAGGTTGAAACATTTAAATGGTCAAAAAACTAGTCAATTGCCCACTTTTCTCAATTTTCTCTCTTCTCTCCTCCCACTACCTACCATATCTGCTTGGCCTTAGAGAGAGCCAAGAGGCGGTGTTTGGGGGTGTTCCATGCATTGGAAGCGAGAACAACTCCATGCAGCCTTAATGTTTTAGTTTAACTATTACTACTTTTGTTATATGTAATGATGAAGAAAATATTATAAGTGTATTACACAACTAAAAAAAAGAAGAAAGAGAAGTAAACAAAGAGGTTAAAATTGTTCCTAGGTTGACTTTCAGGATAAGGACATCAACATGCAATCAAATTCTATCATCTCCAACAACAAAAAAATCTTTCGAAGTAGTGATTATAAAAATAATCCAAAATTTGTATCGATTTATCTCTTAGATTAAAACATATTATGAAAAAAATGAGTTAACCCCTTATACCCTTTATCATTTTCAGTTAAAATAAAAGACGTAAAAATTGAAAAAATATATTTTTTTAAATAGATGAATCAAAACATAAGCTGAAATATCACCTCCCATAACCTTTGTAGAATTTATTTGGACCCAAAGAGAACGAAAATCATCTCCTTGAAAATTTCCAACTTTGTACAATATATGATGAAGTAACATACATTGTAGATTATTAACCAAATGACAGAAATAGCCATCATCGTTTTAAGTAAACCATGTAGGCTAAAATGAACAATCGGTTAAGCAACAATCATAAAGGAGCATATATATGTAATTTCGCTAAAAAAAACCTCCAATAGTTGCCATTCTAATCTAAAATAATCACATGGACAATCAAAATATCAAAAATTATTCCAAGGTTCTCACATCATTGATTAATAGAAATCATTGTGGATTTTAAGCACACAAATATCTTTGTTTGTTTTTAAAGAAGGTAGATAGTATGCGATGCATTACATGCATTACATAATATGAACATATTTTCATGGACAACACTTTGGAATTAGAAGATGTATTCCGGCAACAAAAGAGGAAATTTAGCAACTTCAGCATCAAAGGTACTTCCTTTCGGATCTGCCAATCTACAAACACAATGTGCAAATCATTATTATACTTCCTTTGGAAAACTTAATTATTATTATTATTTTTCTTTTTTTAAAAAGTTAAAATGAACAATTAAATAGTAGTACCCGCTTTTAATGTTCTTTTATACTTCTTTTGAACGTTTAGAAAACATTTTTCCCGGCTACTCCAGGAGCAAAATATAGAAAAATGAACAAATTTGTTTTTGTCTTTAAAGAAATGGTACTAGAGTTGTTGGATAATAATGTATTCCATGACAAAATGAAATGAAAAATTAAAAACATGGAAATTCCAATCAAATGTAATGTATTTTATACATAAAAACAAATATTGCAAGAATTTTCTTTATACAAACCTTCCGGGGACAAATGTGAAAGAACCTTCGATAGATCCCCGAGACGATGCGGACATCGTGCAACTCTCGTAAACAAATTCTTTCTCCCCAGGTCGTAATAGTGGAAACTGTAAATAAATAAACTAACTTTTACATTCTAGAAACATATAGAAGCCTTTTTCAAAGTGTCGTTTACTTTCTACTTTCTAGGGTTGACATGTTTTTTTTTTTTTTAAATTGTGTTTCGACTTGTATTTTGTACTTTGACAAGCTTAATTTATTCACTTTTTTTTGCGTTTCCTTTCTCCTTGCTAGATTCTTGGATCTTCACTTTTAATTAAAATAAAGTTTAAGTAAAGACCCTTGATCATAATATAACATTTTAAGGATGAATACCTGGCCTATCACAGCTTCTCCATTGATATCTGCAACAACATGATCATTTGCTTTGATGATCCAATGTCTCCAATAGAGTTGACATGAATTGAAGGACATTCCATGGATAAAACATCCCTCGGGTTTAAGAGACATACGAATTGAATAAGCAAACATGTATTTCTCTTTTTCTTGCACAAGGTCACTGAACTCAGGCACAAATACAGCAGAAGCACGAACCTAAATGACCATTTTACCCTTTATATACTAGCTGTTTGATTTGTTGCTTTAAAGTTGAGCATAAGTAAGAAACTACAGCAAGGGGTTGTTTCTTTTTTCTCATGGGTAATGATGTTTGTCTGGATACAATGTTGTATACATAAAGGCTGTTTCTAAATTACAGAATATGACGATTTTACCCTTGCATTCCAGACAAACGATTTTCACAATATTTATCGATTTTAACTTGAGAGGAGTTTGGAGGAAAAAAGAAGAAGTGCAAAAAGGTAAAGGGTTGGTATCTTAATTCATTAAGCCATGTTTTTTTTGGCTTAACCCATTAAGTTATTCTGTCCGGATTAAGTCAAAAAGAAACAACCATGTATAACTATCCAGATTACATGCATAACCCATTAAGCCCATTTTGTCTGGATTAAGCCACACTTTTAATAAGTTCATTAAGTCAAAAAGAAACAGCACCTGAACACCACCTGTAGTGGCTGAAGAACAAAGGGGAAGTTGTTCAGGGAACAAACTAATGCTTCTAATATTTCCTTCTTCACGAACTTTAATATATCCAGTTTCAAGGCGATGAACATGTTCTTCCAACCATAACAACATACCATCTTGTTGAAAACAACTTTTGGAATCATGAATTGAAGTTATCAATCCATTCGGAACACACGGCATCATCTCTCGACTCACTAAAAGATTCTTGGTGCCAACATAGAGTTGACCCTCTTCACAATCAAGAAAAAAGATCTTCTCAATGTAAGTAGAAGAAGTTGCCACAACAATGTACTTGTGTTTACTAAATCCAAGATGGCGTACAATATCATTCGTCTCTTTGATTATAAGATCTAATGGCAACAAGAAAACATTCACGAGATATTCATAGAAAGAGTAACCTCCGATTAAACCACATAGATTTTGAAGTCTATTTGTACTTCCTCTTGATGAAGGACTACATTGTTCTTGTCCATCACAAAATCGGTAGAGGACCCTTGTGGGAAGAGGGAGTTTTACTTTCAAACACTTTTCTAACTTGTTTATTTCATCTTCAGAAGCACCCTTACGAAGGGTGGGTAACACCTCTGGGAAATTTTTTGTTAACCATGTTTTGATTCTGTCCCAAATATCTTTCACTCGTTTAACAAGAGACCATGGGTACATACCATAAGCTTCCCTCCATGCCCCATAAGCTGCCTAACATTTTAAAAGAAAACAAAATTAAACATAGTGATCATATAATAGGCGTCAAGCAAACTCCATAAAACATTCGCGTATATATCATGATTGCTACCCATTCATTGAAGACTTGATTGAAACAAAAAACAAAACAAAACAAGAGGGCCTTCATACAAATAATTTCCTTGAAATCACATATCCAAATAACCCCAAATGTGAGGGTTAGCCGTATAACACCAGATTTGGGGTTATTTGGATATGCCATTTCAAGGAAATTATTTGTATGAAGGAGTTATATGGCTAACCCTCACATTTCATATACATTTGACAATTAAGTTCCCTCTATTCATTTTCAATTTCAAAACTGATGTGTATTTGTTACAAATATGACACCAATTTTTTACAACTTGAGCAATATGATGACATATAAAGTAATCAACCAAATTTTCCCCCAAATTTATCACGAACCACAGAAAACCTAGCTAAGGTTTAGGCCAATTTTTTGTTAGATAACAGAAACGATTTTCTTTAATTTCACATCAAAAGCATAGAGAACCCGACAATCAAACAGATTGAGTATCCCTATTCACTGTGAATCTAAAACAAAACGTGGAACTGATATTCACTGATCTAACCTTAAAAGTGGGACATTGATTGCCCAAAGGATCAATAGGGGAAGAGAGTTTCAGTTCTTGCGCACAGAAAGACGCCCATAGAGATTCATCCGAAGCCCAATCTTTGAAGCGTTTGTTGACACATGCAACAGCTGCTGCATCAGAAGGTCCGAGTTTCGATACAATAACGTGAATAGCTAAGCCACCGATAATCTCTAACCCTGTCGGTTGTTTCGTGGCCATAGTTATCGATCACAATCTGCAAACTGGAAAGGATTCTCAACGAAAGGGATAGATACGGACTACGGGACTAGTGACTCGACATGTCTAGAAATTCGACACGAAAATAGAAATTCGACATCATACTTTTTTTTTTTTCTTTTTTTCTCTTTTTTTGAACGGTAGAAAGTTTTTAACTAAGCCCACCCACGGTCACTAAGACTAACAGGAGGGATACATGATTATCATGTTGATATATATGATTTTTTTTTGGTATAGATTTAATGTTGTATTTATTTTTGTCTTATGGACTATCTGTGTTGTGTAGATCACACGCAGATATTAGTTTTCGCAGATTGTTTTTTTTTTTTTTTTTTAAAGATTGCAGACCAAAAAATATATGTGCGCCTTCTTTTTGATGCAGATGTGGACCAGAGTCTTCTAACATCTTCTAACTTAAAAAAACAAATATATTTTTACTTTTTTAAGTTTTTTTTAATTTATATTTTTTCCAACTTTATTAATGATAAACATTTTGAAAAAAAATTACAAAACTTGAAAAAAAAAACACATTCGACGATACAAATATAATATTTTTGACAAATTCATAAATAAATATTTGTTATAATAATATTCGTTAAAGTTGTTTATATAAATATGAAAAAAAAAAATCATAATATATATTCTTATATTTTTTGCCAAATTTTGTAAAACATTATTTAATACAGTATCGTTAATTTCTCGAGAAAATATTTGTTGTACGTTTTTAATGGATTTAATTTAAAAAATTGAAGTTTATTTCCATCCATTTATGTATCAAATTCTTTGATCGCTAATTATAATGTTTACTTATAATTTTGCGACCAAAGTTATTGATTTTTTATCAAATACATACGTTAGTTCATACCATTTTTATTTTTATTTTTTATACAATAATACATAAAAGTTGATCTAGATTTGTTATTTATTTATAACAAAGTCATAAAAATATATTTAAAAAAAATCATAAATGGTCCTGTGGTTTCCCAAAATCTGAAGTTTAGTCCCTGTGGTTTAAAAACTTCATAGATGGTCCTTGTGCTTTCTAAACTTTTGACAGATGGTCTTTATCCCTTACACCGTTAGAACCCCGCCGTTAACTCCTATTTCATTAAAATAATATAAGGGCAAATCAATCTTTTCACTGGTACCCTCTTCTTTATTGAGGGAAATGATTATGTCATTGTCTCCTTCACGTCAACTCTCAAACACTCTTTATATCCCAAGAGTACAATGACTTCGCCTTCAACAGATCACTCTTATCCAAGAAACGAAATTAGGGTTTAGGGTTTACACAACACCAAAGGAAAATGGTTATGTTAATATGGTGTTTGCGTGAAAAAAATGCGTGCTTGAAGGACTTGCAATCTAGATACGGTAAGATTTTTCATTATAAAATAATAATAATAAAAAAAAAAAAAAAAACCCTTAAGTTTTTGTTTTCCTTGAATGTATACGTGAAGATAAATCATCTTCTTTACCCTTTCTATTTTTATGTTTGTAGAGGGATATGATAACTATTTCACGTTGAAGATACACTATAGTGGTGTCTTCACCAAGTCACCTGGAAGGAAATATGTCGATGGTACTGTATCATACGTGGATGACGTTGACACTGATTTATTTTATGTCCATGAACTCGATGACATGGTTCGAGAATTTGGGTACAAAGGTGAACAAACTCTTTACTACCATTTCTGTATCCTTGAATTTCCCTTAGACTATGGATTATTGCCTTTAGGTTATGATCAATATGTTCTTAAATTGGTTTCGTATGTCCCTAAACACAGACTTGTAAGGGTCTATATTGAAATTGGTCATACTATCGTAGCTAGTTATTTTAAGTCTCCTTCCAAAGTTGTTATTAAGGAATTGGAACCTGAGAGTGTGTCACCGGAACTTAATAGAAAAAAAACCTTGTAGAAGAGAAGTAGGATCGTGTAGTAAAAAGCTTGAGTTAGACCACCCTACCAACCATGTTGTTGACCAGTCACAGGTAATAGATATGGATGAAAGTCAAGATCATTCAAAGACTATTGTTCCATATGTTATGTCTCCAGTTAGCCAACAAAGTAATGTCATTGATGTGAATGAAGGATTGATCATGGGCCACATAGAAGAAGTGTGTAAGGGTAATTTAGGTAATCTTGCAGAGGAACCAATTTGTGAAGATATTGATGGACAACAATGTGTAAGACTCGATGAATTTGAAGCATTTACAAATGATTATTCAACTTATGCTAACTTTGATGTTGAGTACAACGTACCAAATGGTGAAGAGAATCAAGTAGAAATTGAAATTCTAGAGGGCATTGTAAGTGATGATAGTGGAGATGCTTTCTATATTCAGAATGGAGATGGTTTTGATTATAGTGGAGATGATTCTGATGATAGTGACTACATTGTACATGAGTCTAACTTGCAATTTGATGTGGATGTAGACATGAGTGAATTCCAAAGTTCGGTGGATGTAGATGAACATGGAATTTTAAACAAGCAAACCGAAAGTATAGGGAATGACATAGTTGATGAAGAGTTGGAAGTTATTCAAAGTGATTATTATCAGTATGCAGGAATTTATGAAGATGAAAGGACAAAAATGCTTAAGGAGTTGAGTAGGTCAAGTCCATGCTTACATGGGGAGATCCATTTAAAACCATATAGAGTGGGGCAGTGATTCAAAACAAAGAAGGAAGTTGTGGACTACATGCATTCACATGTTGTAAATACAAGGAGGTCCCTATACTTAGCAAAAAAATGATAAAATCAGGATAAGGGTCAAATGTGGAGGTGTTGTGGACCAATCTACTGAAATAGTTCAATGTGGTGAGCCATCAACTAGAAGTAAGGTAAAGTGCAAGGGACAATCTACTGAAACAGTTGAATGTGGTGGGCCATCAACTAGAAGTAAGGTAAAGTGCAAGGGCAAAAATGTGATTAGTAAAAAAGGAAAATGTCCTTGGGCACTCCAAATCTCGAGGCCAAATGAGAATAAGGATTGGTTGGTGAAAACAATACACGATGTCCATAAATGTTTGCAGACAAGATCAGTTAGAGTTTGTACTTCCAAATATTTAGCAAACTTAATTGTTCCACAAATTCAAAGTAACCCTAAAATTCCAATCAGAGCTTTACACGAGGAGTTGTGTAAGAAGCTGGAGCTTGGTATGTCAGTTCAAAAGGTTGCTAGGGCAAAGAAAATGGCTGAACGTGTGATTAGTGGGGACTACCAACTTCAATATGGGTATCTGAGGGATTATGCTTTGGAACTACTAAACACTAATCCTAGTTCAACTGTTAGGATAGATGTGTATACTGAACCATGCTTGTCGACTACTACAAGAACTTTTAGAAGAATATATGTATGTCTAGGTGCACTGAAGTTGGGATTCAAAGCTGGGTTAAGGGATTTCCTGGGAGTTGATGGTACATTCTTGAAAGGCCCATATCCTTGGTAGGTACTAACTGCTGTGGGTCTAGACTCAAATAATGGAATATACCCTGTAGTGTATGCAGTAGTAGAGGCTGAAACAACTAGTTCTTGGACCTGGTTCATGGAACTGTTAGGAGAAGACTTTGGAATTGGGAGAAAATTCAAATTTTACCTTCATTTCTGATAGACAAAAGGTATGTTTTACCTAATTATTTCTCATGATAGTGTACCTTACTTTCTATTTTTATAAATGAAACTGGCTATATTTGCATTTGTTAAGGGGATAATACCAGCAGTTACAAAGGTATTCCCTAATGCAGAACATAGGTTTTGTTTGAGGCATATTCAGGAGAATTTGAAGAAACAATGGAACGGAAAAGAGTTGAGTGACTTGGCTTGGGAATGTGTTAGAGCAACAACATTGAATCACTTTAAATATGCAATGGATCAGTTGAAGAAAATGCATGATGAAGCTCATTCTTGGTTGTGTAAGATTCCTGCAGAGACATGGTCTAAATCTCACTTCAGTGGTATGCCATTTAGAAGTTGTTATGTAACATCCCAAAAATACGAGCCAGAAATTTCATTTTTAAAACACATACTTAGCAAAACATTAGAAATAAAACATTCACCGATCATATCATTTCATAAAAGATGTGCGTGTCTGGAAACCATTTTATAAAAACATAATAAATTCAGAGTACAAATCCCCAGGAAGATCTCATAGTGCGGAATACAAGCGTGTGTGTGATGTGCTGCTATCGCGCCAGCTTGTAACGCCCGTAGATCCGGGCTAGTCAATTTAGAGATAATAGGGGTCGAAAATGACTTTTCGACAAAATATTATTTAGAATAAATAATTTGAACCAAGTTGTAGTATATGTCACTAGGTTTCCATACATATAAAGAACGCCGAAATCCGAGTTATAACGAAGAAGTTATGACACGTCGAAGTTTCGCGACGGAACCAGCACGGCACCGGGAAGCGTAAAAAGTGAATTTACGATAGAGCAAGATTTAGACTTAGTGATCTAAACGAAAGTCGTAGAATATGTTAAACCGAGAAAATCCATAAAAAGAACGCTCAAATATGACTTCGTATGAAGAAGTTATGATTTTTCTAAAATTTGGCTTAGCAGTGTACAGTCCGAAACTCGAATTTTAGTTCGAGCGGTTTTTGGCTTATGCGACCTAAATGAGAGTTGAAGATCTCATTAATAGGAACTCAACGGTAAAAAGAAAGACGAAAACGGAGTCCGTATGAAGGAGTTACGAATTCTTCGCGGTCATTTAACAGTCTAAACGCCTCGTACTGTTAAATTTAAGATCGGTCGAGAATTAGCCGAAGGAGTCAAAATGAAAGTTGTAGATATTATTTTTACCTACGCGTGGATATAAAGAACGTCAAAAACGGAGGTCGTATGTGAAAGTTACGGATTTTAGAAGTCGGAAGTGTGCTGTGCGAAAATGGGTGATGTGGCACAATCTTGGCCATTGCTTTCTCCCCAAGTCTTGCCACTAGATGGTGACATGTGGCACCAAGTTCAGCCATTTTCACCCTATAAATACCACCTCTCCCACCCTCATTTTCTTCACACCTTTCCCATTCTTTCTTCTCTTTACTCTCTCTCTAGAACCTCTCTCTAGCCCCGAAATCCCCCGAAAAGCCTAGGGAACCTCCCTAGCACGAGGCGGAAGCCCCGGAGTGCTCGACGGCTCCGAGAAGAAGAGCTTTTCGGCTCGGAAACGCTGCTCCAAGCAAAGCCTGGTTTTCTATAAAACCCGCTGTAAGTGAGCTACGCCTACGCTATTTTTAATATAGTTTTTATTTAATTATATTAACGTTATTAAGAACATATAATAAATACTTGGGCTATTATTATGGGTTATATAAGTATTTTTTTAACGCTTATATAATAGTAATAATAGCTAGACTATTAATTAGTCTCGGCGAATAATAGACTAAAATCTATTGGTGATAATACTAGGTTTCGTCGAAGGAAATTATTTTAAAGTAAACGAAGCGCTGTCCGAGTACCGAGTCACCACCTTCTCAGGTGAGTGCATGGTCCCTTTCATCTTACACATAGATATGAAGTATTTATTATATAATTTACGTGTTGTGAGTGCATAGTCCCTTTCATCTTACACATAGATATGAAGTATTTTAATATAAATTACGTGCTATGTGTACATATTGTCTGAATACTTGCTGTCTATGCTGAGTGAAAGATTTTTATACATGTTTTAAATGATTTAAACTGTATACGTATTTTATATCTACAAAACGTGTTGGGAAAAACATGGGTAGATGAAATAGTTGTTTTGTGATAACACGATGGGAGACATCAGTGTTGTCAGTGATCCAGTCATCTAGTGGAGTATAGATGACGACTATGGACGATACTAGACGGTCCAGTGGAACGATAGCAGTTTCGTAACATGTAGGTATTTTTGAACTAGGTGCTCATTAGGTATTTTTGAACTGAGTGTGTTCACTACGTATCTTTGAACTGAGTGTGTTCACTAGGTATTTTGAACTAAGTGTGTTCACTAGTTACTTTTGAACTAAGTGTTTACCAGATGTTTCGGACTACGTGTTCACCAGATATATTCTATAAGCCTTGGTAATGATGGACTTCGTGTCGATTCCTTAGGATGATCCTTAGGACTAAATAAACGAGGAATAGCTGATTCTTAGGGTAGATCCTTAAGACTAAAGAAGATAATGGGGATGGGTAATTGGGTTGATTGTTTGATTGTTTAAACATAATAATTATATTATTGTGGGTTGAAAACCCTATGTACTCACCAGGTTTCCCAACCTGACCCACTCAGTTTATTTATATCACAGGTGTTGATACGAAGTCACTTTACACTGAGAGATTTAAAGAGATGTAGATCACTAGTGTAAATAAATGTAAGTTCTGTTTATGCTTATGTTCCTGTATTGACGATGACATCCCAAACGTTTTAAAATGAATAAAGTACGTTTCTTCGGAAATGTTTTAATAACGTATTTATCATGTTTTTCTGGGAACAAATTCCGCAACATTTTTATTAAAAGAAGAACTCTGATTTTTATAAAGCATAAACAAAAATCGGTCTTTTCTGGCCGTGAAAATGGGGATGTCACAGTTGGTATCAGAGCATTAGTTTAAGCGAACTAGGAATATGGATTTATTTCTAGACTTAAACTTAGAATGCTAAGCGATGATTGTGAGGTGTGAGCACTAGCTTAATTTAGGAATGATGCCTAAATTACTTTTATGTGCTAAATGATTTGTTATGCTATAGTTTGATCGGATCTATGGTCTGTTGCCGACCGGATCTGGAAACCTTATGTGTTTAGGATTCTAAACGTACGAATACGATATTAGAACTAGCATATAAACGTTTCGGAGCGATAAGGATGATTTAAACGTCAATCCTATGTAAGGGTCTAGATTCACCTTATTCGGTGTATAGATCAAGATGGCAAGGACCCGTAGCGGAAACGTGAATGCAAATGAGAATAGGAACCAACCCCCAGTGGTTCAGCAAATACCTGTTGTAGAAGAAGTTGCACCTGAGCCAGTCACCATGGCTGGAGTTCAAGCCATGATTCGGGTTATGCTAGCTGAACAAAGGGAAGAAATGAGGCGGATGTTGAATAGGGACGAACCTACTATGCCCACTGAGCAACCCGAGCTGATTCCCGAGCAATCGGAGGAAGGGAACTACAGCCGCCAAGTGAGTCAAGTGGGGACTCAAGGTGATCAAAGGGATGGCCCGGAGAGGAGAAACGACAAGGATGGGCGAATGTACAAGAATTTCTTGGGTGCGAAACCACCAAGTCTCTCAGGAAGCCCAAAGCCTGTTGAGATTATGGATTGGATCTCCGAGATGGAGATGGTGTTTGAGAGCTGGACTGTAGCGAGAAACAGAAGACCGTCTTCGCTGTAAGACAACTGAAAACTGGAGTTTTGAGCTGGTGGAAGCTATTGGCAGATACGATGCCACGAGGAGAAGCCTTAAGGATGTCATGGGAAGAGTTCTTGGAACAGTTGAAAATGCAGTACTGCTCAGAGATAGATCTGATAGACCTAAACAACGAGTTTCAGAACCTGAAGAAAGGGAAGATGAGTGTTGATGAGTATGCCACCGCATTCACCGAGAGGATGAAGCTATTCCCCTACTTGGTGCCTACTGAACTCTCCAAGATTGATAGGTTTGCTAACGGATTACCCACTGACTTTGGCCCA